GCTGCAAACATTCAAATAAGTTTGAATAGTTTCCTTTTCTGAAAATTTATTTTAAAACGGTTGTGAGTGCAATACGGTATGCGCTTCAATTTTTTTATAGGATAAAGGTGACAAACGAGCACACAGTCCACCTGATGGTAAGTGAATGCTGTGGCCCATAGACATCAACATTTAACCTGGATTAAGAATCAAAATGCAGATGCGTTGTCACCCTTGAGGACTAAAATGGAATGCCTCGATTCCAGTAAAACGAGTCTCCGGTTCTCGCTCGTACTCACCATACAAAACACAACAGCATTAAGCTGCTATTTTACGCTGGTATTCTGTGAGAGCGTGGTCCTTCCCCGGTCGAGCCGACCCATTTGTGCTACAACAATAATATAAAGCTGCAGCGTCGTTCTACCACCTTCGATCAACATTGTTGATCGAAGTCTACCACATACAAAAATGACCCACGTAATGAATTCCTGTAACTTTGCTTTTTTTCTTTGTTCAATAAACTAGAGAATAGGTTTTAATGAAAACTGAATTAGGTATTTTTATTATTCAATTAAGCGCCGCATGAAATCGGTTTGGGAAGATATTGTCATTGTCATTAAAATTTTGAGAGATTAAAATAGGACATTAAAAACGTAATATATATTATTCTTTGTAAAAACATAAATTTTAAGATTCAAATAACAGAAAAAATTATCACAAATGGAATTAAATATTTCAGTCCAGGAATTTAAGGCGTGGTTGGAGTACTTTTTGAACCCGCGTAAATCCTTATTGAATGACTTTAATCTCTATAAATACTGAAATGTAATTATTTCCCTAAAGCAAAACGATTTAATAAAAATTTTACATATTTACGTACAAGAATTTTGTGAAGGCAGGAACGCGAATGATAATAATTGGCTCGACAAAAACAATTATAATACGACACTAAATCGCTATTAAACATAATATACCTTTCAGTGATTCCATATTGAAACCATGTAAAACTTCTATCGAATGAATAGCTTTATTATTGTTGGGTCTTGTTGAGAACAAATTTTTTTAAATTAGTTTTTATTTATTTTATCATTTAAATAAAAATAAAAATGGAATAATTCCAGCGCTCGCAGTCGCCCAGCTAGTGCCTGCCTGTTTTGGGGTTATACAAAGTACACTGTGGTGCCCGCCGACAGGTCTTTGAGGTTGGACGTATGTTGTTTTTCTTTAATTTCCCTGCATATATACGATATGTAACGTAATCAACGCACACCCTCAGACACCCCAATTAGTATATTATATTATAATCATAATACATACGCTGAATTTTTAGTTAAACATTTTTATGCACTGATTATTTATCAAATTAGTTATACTAATTCCGGAAAAATCTTGTGGTCACAGTACAAATCCACGAACGCAAAGACTTTAATGTGCTTGAAATAAAGTTCATTTTTCTTTATTTTTATTGAATGACAGAATTAGTAATAATACAAATAAAACTGCACTCTTAAAAGTCTTCTTGCCTTAAGTTACGGTCCATTTCAGTTTGTTTTGACTGTACAGATTTAGTGTGACTGTAATTTTCGTAGTTTTAATTATTTTGGGATAAAAATTACCTATATTAAAAATGATATGAATCAATTCAGTAAACGATTCTGAACAAACTACTTTCTCATAGTGCGTTAATTATGTTATATGTTGTAGTTCGCTCGATAATTGCCGAGAGGGAAATAATCCGATAACAGAAAAACAAGCGTAGATAGGAGTCTTAATAAAGAAGCTAAAGAATAGAAATAATATGCTTAGTATAGTTACAGAGTAGTCACTTGATAGAGGCTTTATCACGATAAAATATATTTATATCTACTTATATTTAATATATTTTATATCTATTTCATTTAAAAAAAAAAAGAGTTGATCAAAAACTATTTAAAGCTCAACCTAAGTTATTAAAAATTAAAATGGAATGTATAAGAGTTGTTACAAACAGTATTGAATCAATTTTTTTGCAATAATGCTACGTAGAGACCATTCAAAATTCGTCAACACGCTTTCTACAATAATTTGTGCTTCACTTTTTGCATAACTCACAACTTTCAGTACCACTAGCGCTTGTTGCGTATTGCTTTGTGGATATTTGTTAAGAAATATAAACAAGTTTCCCCGTCTTTTACACACTTACTTAACAAATTTAATTAATAACCGTTCTTACGTACGGTTTGCTCACTTGTCTCTCTTAGACACCTAACTTTTAATGTGCATTTGCGTACACCATGATAAACCAGCGTTAAAATTGCAATTAACAATTCCAGTTATTCCGGTGGGGACCAAACTCCGATTGCTCGGACTGAGAAATTTACGACGAGGACTAAGCAACTGACTTACAACAATTAGCTATTACTATATTTTACTTTCTAGTTTTGAGTACTGCTAGTACAGTACACTACTGGTCCAGCACTGAAGTCACAGTGTAACCCTGTATAGAATATCTAAATAAAATTATCCACTACCCCATATCTTTCTCTGCCTGTCGTAAGAGGCGACAGAGGGAAACTGAACCAGAAGACGGGTAGCAACATATTCCTCATAACAACTCAAATTAAAAAAAAACTGTAGTATACCTGGCCAACCCGTCTGCAACCCGTGGCAACTACGACATTATATAGGCTGTAATGGATAGTGAAGGGCTGAACTCACCCCATCTAGTGGAAGAACACCCAACACTGCACTTGTCAATACGAGGCTGCAACGAACTTTTATTCCTCGGTTGTCGGTTCTTCCAGCTATATAGCCACTTCAGCTTATTGATCATATAATAGTAGTTTTTTTTTTTTTAGAGAATAAGGGTGACAAATGAGCACACAGTCTACCTGATGATAAGTAGATGCTGTGGACCACAGACATCTGTATTTACACTCGATTAAGTATCAAAATGCAGATGCTTTTCACCCCTGAGGACTAAAATGCAATGTCTTGTTTGGAGTAAATAATAAATAAATAAAAATAATAAAATAAAAATCATTTATTTCGACCTTAAAGATCATATTTGTTAGTAACATATATAAGAAAAACACTAGTCTAATGTTAGTAAACTTAAGACTACCTTAATCTATATCTTATATCTAAGACAGCCCTGATTTGTCAGCACGTGCACCATACGGCAGTGGTTCAGGTACTGACAATCCAGCCTGTCAGCAAATGCCCTCAGGACGCCACTGGGACCATCCCTAACCCTGCGTACCAGGGATGTGCACCGCTTGCGCATGATCGAGTGAAAACAATCAACATGCGCATCAGCGAACATACCCGACGCACTGCAGAATCGAGGCAGTCCCATCAGCATCCTAAAAGCATTATTGTACTGAACGCGCAGAGCATTGTACTGATTCTGCGTAAAATCGATCCACAGGCTGCTTGTGTAAAATGAAGAACAGTAAGCTCTAAATAGCGTTACTTTAACCGGGGTGGAACAACGAACAAACCTGCGAGCTATCATGTTCGCCCTAACCGACAATGCTCTGCGCTCTCTCTCGATATCAGCATCGTCTTTCAAGTCAAAGGTTACCACATGACCTAGATATTTAAATTGCGACACCCTTTTTAACGGCGTACCATATAATTTAATGGGTGGTACAATTGATGGTAATGCTTTTCCCTTGGCCCGAAAGACCATACATTCGCTTTTTTTCACATTATAAATTAAGCCGTGACTGTGAGCATAGTTTTCACATATGCTCAACAGTTTCGCTAAGCCACAAACAGAAGCACTCAGCAACACCATGTCGTCAGCGTAACTGATGTTGCTAAGACATACTCCGTCAATGTGACAACCGACATGTGTGCTACTGAGCTCCTCTATGAGGGCATTGACATACAGGTTGAAGAGCTTAGGGGAGGTTAGGCCTCCCTGTCTAACTCCGCACTCCAACCTATATGGCTGCGAATAAGATTCGGACCATCGCACAACATTGACCTGGTTACGGTACCAATATTTGAAGATTCTGGTTGCTTCTTCAGGCAGTCCAGTATTTTTCAATTTCTGCCATAGGATATCATAATTTACCAGGTCAAAAGCCTTACTAAGGTCGAGAAAACAGGCATATACAGGTGTACGCCTAACCGAATAGTACCTAACAGTCTGCTTCAGACATAATATGGCCGACTCAGTTGACAAACCTGGCCTGAAACCAAACTGATTATCATGTAAGGTTATATATTTATCAAGGTGGACGCTAAGCAAACTGTCAAGAACCTTCGCAACAACCGTGGCTAGTGAGATAGGCCTGTAATTGGATTTATCAGACACATCCCCCGTTCTGTTCTTCACAATTGGCACCACCACAGTTTTCATCAGCGCTGAAGGCAAGTACGAGTGTGCCATGCACAAGTAAAAAGGGTCTCCGGTTCTCTACACTCATCATACGAAACAGCAGCGTTAACCTGCTATTTTACGCTGGCATACATTCGTGCTACAACCATAATATAGCTGCAGCGTGACTCCACCACGTTAATTGCATCGTGGCTTTAACACGATGGTACTAAATAATTTTCAATTACACGAATGTATCTGTATATAATAAATCAATTGCTGTTTTTTTATAGGATAAAAAACTTTTTTTGCATATGCGTTGCAAGGATAGATGGAATGCCTCGTTTCCAGTAAAATGAGTCTCCGTTTAGAGAACTACACTCGCCATACGAATCACAGCAGCATTAGGCTACTATTTCACGCTGGTATTCCGTGAGAGCTTGGTCCTTCCCCGGTCGAGCTGACCCATTTGTGGTACAACTATACTGCTAATATAACTGCAGCAGGGATGTTTTCTCGCTAAAACTAGAAAATGGCTCGACTGATTTTGATGAAATTTTTTGTGTGTGTTTCAGTGAGTCCCTGAATGGGATTTATATTCACAATTGTAAGTAGTACTAAGTAGGTGGCGCTGTTGTCGATATCTAGAAATCACCCGTGCAAAGTTAGGGCGGATCGCTGGTAATTCAATAAAAATGTCTGGAATAATTACCTCTAGAGAGAGCTTGGACATGTCAACAGGCGTGATCCGCTTAAGCGCTGAGAGGCGCTGCAGCCGCTGGCGGGCCTGCTCCTCCACCGCGATGAGGAACGCATCCTGGACGATGTTGTGACCGATGTCTGATACTGGAACAATGTAATTCATTGTGAACATTTCTAGTTGTGATAATGATTGGCTGTATGACAATGTAAAATAATCATAATGATGTCTATATATTTAGACTTCTGGAACCCTGGTAGCTCAGATGGTTAGCACTCGTTGTAAATTGCTCAGTACGCGAGCAACCCGGGTTCGTTGCCAGCCGGCATCAATAAAATTGTTAATTGCAATTTGAAGTACTGATTTACCACGTGCTCGGCGTTGAAGGAAAACATCGTGCGGAAACCTGCATTACTGAGAAATAAAAAAATATATTTCGAAAACATGTGAAGTTCGCCAATACGCATTTTTATTTAGACTTTGTTGCACAAAAATATCAAATGCAGACGACAAATTACGAACTACTTTTGCTTTTCTGTATTTTTCCTTCTATAAAAACGTTACCCCTTTAACTTACAATTCACACATTTCTCCTGTGTGTAGGAAGCGTGTACATACAAAAATTGCTCTTGAAAATGTTTCATGAAAAAACACTCGTAGAGGGTTCGGCCAAATATAAGTTCGTTTACTTCTTCTTTTAAATTATGGCTTCTCTCGATATAATTCGGCCAGTGTCAATTATAAGAATATAAAATTCTTTATAAAAGATAAATTATTTTCACAATGTTTATAAGCGACAGTAGCCTAATGGCAAGACACGGACCGCGAACACAAAAAAAGGTCGTGGGTTCAAATCCGCCATTCGACTACTGGCGTGAACCACTCGTAACAAGAAATTTAAGCTTACCACGAGTGGTTAAAGGGGAATATTAGTAATGTTTATAGCATTGTTAATATTTCTTTTTTTTTTAAATGTCAACACTTTCCCACTATTTTTAAGAGAACAGTATCAATCGACGCCCGAACGCAATTGAAATGTTGGGAAATATTAATACCACATGACCAACGCAAATACTGTGTAGTAATAATGTGCATGCTGTGTAGAAACGGTGCGTATTTTACGACCGACTTCAAAGACAGGGGAAGTACTCAATTCGAATGTATTTTTTTAATGCCAGAACCTCAGAATTTTTTTCTAGGTGAACCGATTTTGATGATTCTATTTTAATATGAAAGCTGCTACCTCTCTTGTGATCCCATATAAATTTGATTAAGATCTAGTAGTTATTGTTTATCTATAATAATGCGTATTTAATTGGCTTCGGATACATTGTTGAAGTTCTAATTTTATTCTATTTTTATTTAGAAGTCGGTTTTACTTTTTTAAAGTATAATTATGACAAATAATATATATTTAGTGTCTTAAATGATGCACTCACAGTGCCGTCACCATTGATTTATAGTCACAATAAGAACTTGGCGAGACTGGTATGTTTAGTGCACACTACACACTTTCCCGTGCTTGCACGGTGTACATAGTCGAAAATGTCGCTGCTGTACACGAGTGTGCGACTCAATCTCAGAACCCGCCATCAATCCCAACAATTCAACATTAGTCACACTATCCTGGGAATAATTCTTCACAAAGACGGATTTTATTCGCTTGCAAGGTCCGATTGGCTCAGCAGTTGGAGACTAAGACCATTCTTACGCTTGGTTATCATAGCTTCTCAGTTTGAGCTTTGGAACAGCTTGAACAGCAAAATCATCTTCTCTGAGGAACATTTTTGTCTGGACGTCCATATCAACGAGCCAAACTGTCGCATCTGGGGCTCGAGAAAAATGCAAGTAATCATCGAGAGGCCAACATATGTTTAGAACGTCTGTTTGGTGCGAATTGTGGAGTGATCATTTTACCATATTTTTAAAAATGCTTTTGCAAATGATTGCCCAACGGTGAACGCTACAGATGCAAGATAACCGTCATTTTGTGGCCAGACATTTGGGCATGGATTTGAATGAACTATGGCTTAACAGTATGCACATACAGCTCATGAACATTCGATCTTTTATGTAATCAGTTGGATATGTGTGTAATCAGCCGTCTCGTCGATGTCAATTGGCCGCCTCGAGCTACAACATGTAGCTAGACTTCTTTTTGAAGTACCCTCCGAAAATGTCCAGTGAAAGGTCATTGTTATGTAAGCAATCCACAAACGATGCAGATCCTTTAATTAAATACTGTCCGAACCATCGATCTTCCAAGTTGGGTTGCCAGGATATGCTACACGCTGTAGCTTTACACAGCACAGGCAGCTGCATAATTAAAATCGTGTTCCATAAAATATAATGGAAATGTTGAATATATCTAATAAAGCCGTAAAATTTTGTCACAATCGAAAATTAAACCAACTTAAATTTAAATATATTGCTTATAAGCTGTTTAAAGACATAATTTTTATTCCACTACCACAAATTAGAGGTAACACTAGTACTGTTTAAGGTAACATGTTCGTAGTCAATGACCTCAAGTATTACATAATCACGCAGCTTGTATGTAAGGACATTGAATAATAATTTAATAGACATAACAATTGCTTGACATAGTGGTTAGTGTCAGTAACTTCTGAATCGTGGGTACTGAGTTCAAATATCAAGCGGAAGCAAAATTAATTTAAATTTAAAAAAATTGTGTTGTTATTAAGCCGGAGATGGAGCACAAATAAGTAATAATCGATAGAAAAGTAAGGTTTAGTAATGCACATGGCTCAGGACAATGTCTTTTGGCACTCTTGGGAGGAGGTCTACTACGTCCAGCAGAGAACTTGTGTACTATAATGATGATAATAATGTTTTTTTTTTGATTTTCTTTGTGTATAAGAGAATACATCTTAGGTCATAGCCACCTTTTTTATAGAATAAGGGTGATAAACGAGTACACAGTCCACCTGATGGTAAATCTAACCTTAATTACGAATCAAAATGCTCTTACCCAGTAAAAAGGGTCTCCGCTTCTCTACGCTCACCATACGTACACCAGCAAGCGTGGCGTTTCCCAGGTCGAGCTGACCCATTCGTGCTACAACTATAAATAAAGCGTAGCTCTACCACTTATGAAACCGCTTACTTTTTTTTTTTATATTATAGGGTGACAATCGAGCACACAGTCCACCTGATGGTAAGTGGTTGCTGTGGCTCATAGACATCTACATCTATCCTCGATTACGAATCAAAATGCAGATGTGTTGTCACCCGTGAGGACTAAGATGGAATGCCTCGTTTCCAGTAAAATGGGTCGCCGGTTCTCTACACTCACCATACGAAATACAGCAGCATTAAGCTACTATTTCACGCTGGTATTCTGTGAGAGCGTGGTCCTTCCCCGGTCGAGCCGACCCATTCGTGCTACAACTATACATCTAATATAACTGCAGCATGGCTCTACCACGTACTAGACATTACTGTACATAGAGTCTGTCTGCGCTTGGTACCTATCGCATATCTGGCGATGGTTCCTTCACCGCGAAGCATATTATAAATTAACACTTGAGTGTGTCGTAAAGTAAGCAACGAGAACCGAAGACTTTTTTTACTAGCAACGAGGCATTTCATCTTAATGCTAAGGGACAACACTGCACCTACATTTTCATTCCTAATCGGGGCCAGTTATGGATGTTTGAGCCACAGTCTACGGAAACCCACATGGTGGGTCTCACCCTCTTACATATATCTCCAGCCAAGCATCATTGCGTGTACTGCGGTGTTCCGGTCTGAAGGCTATATAGAGAACCAATATAATTACAAGCTCTGAAGTATTCCATTTAAGTCCTCGGAGGCGACAAGTCACTTACAGCCTTCTTAGTTTAAAGTTGATTGCCGATGTCCATAAGCTGGAGTAGCCGCTTACCGTCAGATGGGCTTTAAGTGCGTTTGAAAAATATAAATAGAAAAAAGTTTTTTTAATTGAATCTAACTTTTTAAATTTGCTCGCCGCTCACTTAGCGGTCAGCCACCACAGAGTCTACATTACCTAAGAATGCCTAGTGTAAAGGGTGAATCACGTGTCGTATTATCGTCGATGGTGTGTCTTTCCTAGTGTAGTGGTGTTGGGAGTAGTGGTGCTAGGATTAGTGATGACAGGATTAGTGAACGCAACTGAGGGAGGGCGGGAGGTGCTCTTCAAACTAAGGAAGACACATCACTTTATTTTATTGAGCGGGTGTAGGCGAGGTAGTTCTTACCAACTTTAATATAATGAATTTCCGCAAAGTAACGCCTGAGTCCAATATTTATCTTATCTATTAGCTCTGACAAAGCCGTGGTAGCTCAGATGGTTATCGTTTGCTGTACATTAAATTTCAAAGTACGCGAGCAAACCGGTTTCGATTCGCGCCGGTACCAATGAGATTAATTGCAATTTTAAGTACTGATTTACTATGTGCTGGACGGTGAAGAAAAAAATCGTGAGGAAACATGCATGCATGTCTGGGAAATAGGAAAAAATTTTTTTCGAAGAAATGTGAAGTTCACCAACGTGTATTGGGGCAGCGCGGCAGACAATTCCTTGCCCCAAAACCCTCTCAGAAATCAGGGAAGGCCTGTGCCCAACTTTTTGACTCTGACAAAATGCACAGAATTTTTGTCAGTACTTTCATTTTGCTACTCACATAATCGAAAATTCCAATACTGTTCGTAGTTCAGTTATAATTCATATTCAATGAGCGCCACCGCATTCCTCAACTGTTTGAGGCGTGACTCATGTCTAGAACATCCTATCCAAAGTCGCTTACAACCCTCAATCAACGGCAGCGTATTCGACTATTGTCCTTAAGTTAAGGCGATGTTAAGTATCTATAATTGCTTGCACGATTTAATTAACGGTGAATAACGCTGTGTTGGCGTGTGTACCGTGACGCCCTCTTGATGAATACCGAATCATAAATGCACATACACACGAGCGTTGCTAAAAAATAATTACTGCCTTTTCTAAAAATTCAGTTGAGAAATTATTCAATTAATTGTTTTATTTCTAAATTACGAAATGTTTGGTGAAGTCCACTCCTAAACTGTATTTTTAAAGCCTCGAAGTTCGAAATTTAAACAGGAGATGAACGGTAGGCAGTAGCATCTTAATAAAAAAGTAAAG